ATGCTGTCCTACCTCCCAAGGGTGCCCTGATGCACTTTCCCCTTTCTTGTATCCCAGTGATCGTTTCCAAACGCAGATTTGTTCTCTACATTCTGTCTAAAAGAGATTTTGCTTTTTGCTTAACAACTTTGCCCAAACTTACCCCTTTCTAGAAAAATGAATTTTATTCCGGCCGTTGCAAAAATCATGCATTTAACGAATCTACAAAGGTAGCCTCTGGCTGGCACAAGCAATTTCTCAAAAGGCTCTAAAAACACAACTCAAGTAGCAACTAAGCACTAATTAAGCCCATTAGAAAATGGCCACCCATCTTTGGGGAAGACCTTCGTTATATTGCTGCGCTCCTCTAGCATACGACATGCCCATTTCAAATCTCGGCCTGTGATTCTCCTTTTGGAGGGTGGACGAGTAGCTTGTCTCATAGCCCTGAAAATGACATATAAATAAGAAAGGGTGTCTTTTTTTCAAAAAAAAAATCGTCTGACACTACCAAATAGACCATATTACTCCATCACTCCCACACAAAATTGAGAGCACTTTAATTAAAATGAATGAATGGCGAATGAAGTAGATCAGTCTACATTGCCATATTGGTCCTTAGTTCAGTCCCAACCCATAAGCCATATACTGGTTTTCATAGCTGCCACATAAGCAAGAAATTACCTAAACAAACTATAACTCACAGTGCATTGTTTGGTACGTGGGCACTTAATAAAATTCAACCAATCCATTCTTTTGTTTTCTCCTTTCCCAATCTTCTCTCTCCTCCCTGTACCCATTTTCTTCTCCCGATTTAGAAAGATCCAAGCTGCCTGGTCCTCTTCTCATCCGTGGCCTGAGTGCCTGACAGGGAGCAGCGGCTAGCTAGTGGGCAGTGCATGTGAGCGGGTGGGTGGCGGGCCTGGCCCGGGCGGCATGGCGGCGCAGCATGAGTGGGCCAACACGTCGGCAGGGCTCGTGAGGACGGAAGGAGATGGGTGAGCAGAAGTGGGCAGTGTGGCTTGTGACGATGCTGCGCGAGCAGCGAGTGTGACAGTGGCAGTGTGAGGCGGGGCCTCACTGAGGCGAGCTCGGCCAAGCATGGCGGGCTAGCGGCGCGTGGCTCGCTCACCGAGACATGGCGGGGCATGCCGGGAACACGGTGAGGCGGGATGTAGAGCCAGCCGGGCGGCGCTTATGAGGATGCCACAGGTGACGCGGCCAAGCAGCTCTAGCCATGGGGGGCCAGCGGCGATGCGGACCAAGTCGGGGTTGTAGAAACAAGTAGTTTCTCCCCAACGCGAAAGCTGCAGTTTCTTGGCTTCTTGGTTGCAGGGCGGAGGGCCGATGTGGTTCCTCAGTGAAACCATTTTCTTCTATTTCCTCATTAACTTCGCCGTACTCTTGGTAAAAGGGGGCCGGCAGTTGAGGTCACAATATTTGGCAGAAACATTGCAAGTCAAGATGCTTCATTTCGGTACGAAGTTAACTCTGTGTTGTTGTTCTGTGGCTCGATGTTATGGTTATGTACAGTTTTGGTACCAAAAGCGTGTGAAGAGAACATATTCATGTGAAGGAGGCCATGATTATTTTCATGTCTAAACACAACCTTCCATGGGAAGCAAGGTACGCCAAAGAAGGCAAAGGAGGTGGAGGGGTGTAGTGGAACAAAGGCAAGGTCATGTTTTTATAGGCAAGAGGAGAATCCTGGAATTCACTGTTAGCAGGAACACGATAAATAAGAACTAGACATGGCCTAAAAAATCAAAGTACAAGATATTAGTGTGACATGACTTGGTATTGCAGTACATGGCATTGTGTAGATTCATGAAAATGCATTGGACAAACACAACCTTCCATTTCTCTACTGTGTAGTGAAAGTGAAATATCATCCTGGCTTAATGAGACTGTCCTCCCGATTATTTCCACGGTTCTCAGTTCACTGAAAGCAACATCGTATTATAATGTGACAACATATAGATATATGCAGTTATTATGAGAGTTACCATATGGGTTCAAATCTTATTAGTCCGCATTGTTCCATGATGTGCAAATAAATTGATCGTACCAACTAAACTCTCAGGAACAATGATCAACGTTCGAAAATACCAAAGATAATAATTGAACGCTTGATGAGTTTTTTCATGCTATAATGCTTCATTTATACAAAGAAAAGATCATAGGAGTGACAAATATAATACTCGCTCCATGTTCCTTGCAGCGATGCATCAATATTGCGAGAAAACAGAAAATTGTAGCATGAAGGGTCAATATCATGAACAGGTTTGGCATGCAATGTGTTGCTATCTAGCATGGATGGATGCTCTTCCAGACAAAGACGACAAAAGGGAATCAGACAGGATGCATGCATGAAATGTCACAATCATACTCTCTTTCTCTCTCATGTATTACTATGCGGTGATGATGACTCTGAATAGCTACAGTTCTTTTTACCTGATCATGCATAGGCTCTACTCTGATCATAGAAAATTATTATTTGTGGTGCAATTAACTTCATCATACATATTAACTTATCAACGCCAATCAAGTACATGGCCAGGCTTTCAAATCTTTTTCCATGCTAGAATGTGTCATTTCTAGATAGAGCGCTATTTTTTTTGCCTCCTATTGATAAACAATGCTAGAGCGATAGTATTAGATATCACCACCAGACACATATAAGCATCTAATTTTGGCATGCATGTTTTAACCACTAGCGTTGATGTTTTCTACAAGAAGAAGCCATAAGGACAAGTTGCAGCAGAAGGGAGGCATGTATGTCATGGTGACCACTGCAGCATGCAAGCATGCATGGACTATCTAAACGACTGCATGAAGAAGAATCTAGGCTGCTGTGCAAGTGTTCGGCAATCCAAGCCACACAAATCATATCTGACGGCGCTGGTAGAACAAACTAACGTGGCCATGCTCAGAGGCCGCAGAGACGGCGCGGCCTCATACTTTTAATTTTATAAATATTTTTCTTTTACCTTGCCAGGTTGATGCTAATCTGATCTACTTCACTTGCCGCGTAGGGCAGTTATCAGTAGATACATAGCGCATAGGGCATTTGGCAATGTCGTAGAACTGCATGCTTGATGACGACCATGCATGTCGATACAATACAGATTGGTAGTAGGAAGAGGTAGCAGATCCGTTTCGCTAACAACGTCGGGGATGTCGACGTCGTCGAAGTAGTCTCCGTGAGACGTCGGCCCAAGCGTCAGTGTCGAAGATCGGCGGCAAATTCAACGGCGATGTCGACGTAGAGCTTGTCGTGCTGATAACGCGTCATAAAACATGTTGCCAGCGGTTAGGACTTCTCCCTCCTCCGTCTCTCATGATAAACACAGTAGGTAAAAGTAGAAGAACAAATAGACATAAGATTGGGAGGCTATTCTTTATTTCTCTTAAGATCGGTGATTACAACATAGTGCTCCCACGTATATATAGTCCTGTCAAGGCCTAAGAATTTGGTAAGAGTCCACATACAAAGAAACTAGGATTAGGATTCCTCGTTCTCCTTTCCTTTTAGGATAGAGTTCGTATGTTTTACAACAACAAAAAAAACACTGACATGGTACTCTATTTAATAAGAGTGAAATTTTCATTGTGAGTGGCTGATGTGAATTGTGATGATCCTACTATAAGTGCAGATTTGGAACAGTTAAGTGTGACCGATCAGCTTTAGTTTCATTTCAGCTTGTATAAATCAAAATGGGGGGGGGGGCGTTAATGGAGCCCAGTGAAAGGTGAATATGATACTAACCTCTTCAACGACTTCAAGTCAACTTGTATAGATAATAACATGGTGTGATCTACACATTAGATACCCCATCTATATATTTTAGGGTAGATGTTCCCTTAGTTGGAGCCTATAAATAGCATCAGCCGTTCAATCATATGAGCACCAACTAATCTCGTTGACACCCTCTCCTGATCTCTCTAGCTAGGTTAATTAGCAAACATTACTGTGTGTGTCCATCTGCAGCAATGGCTTCTGGTGCCGCCGCCGCTGCCACCGTTGCGGTTTTCGCCATTATGGTCCTGTCTTCCCTGGGGCACCCAGAGACAGGGCCGTTATGCAGCCGCTGTGGATTCCTGTGCACTATGAACTGCACAGAAGAGATCGCCACCACCTGCAGAAGTTACTGTGAACCCCTTGGCTGCTAGGCAGTCGTGCGAGAGGCAGGTCTTTCAGGCGTGCACGGTGTCCTCCTGCTGCTACGGCAACTGCAGCCGTGATTGCATCTTGGAAGCCAAAAATGGCTGCCAATTTGTCCATGACACCACTTTCGATCGCCAGTCTTGCAGGGGCGGTATACTCCAGTCCTGCGTTCCCGCCTGCTACAGCAACTGCAACAGCACCTGCGTGAAGAAAGAACATGGATGCTGAGCACTTCATCCATGCTTGGTCTCATTCTTTGTTGTTGGTCAGCATCTCTTTATGCATGTATTGCGTGGCTGTAGTCATGAAGCCCCTTGAATCACTACACCACAACACCGCTTCACCGTAAGACATCTGACGTTAAAAATTATATTTGGAGATGGATGATCTGACGCTAAAGATAACTCAGAGACCATCTAACGCTAAATCCTCATTTAACGATTTAGTGTCTGTCGCTATAGGTATTCATATTTAGCGTTGAACCGTCTGTCGCTAAAGCCAAGTGTACCATCAATCTATCTGTCACTAAAGAAAATGGGCCCACACTGAGCTCGCGTGCCCCACCTCTATCTAGCTCGCTCGTGACAAACCCTAGGTCCTTTCCCAAATCCTAAACGCAGCCACCGCCGCCTCTTCTTTCATCTCCCGCAAGCAGCCTCTAGCTTTTTCCTCTTCCGTCGCGCTCCACTCTCTCTCCGGTCTCTCCCTCCTGATTCCAATCCGCCCCATCCCACCCCATGCGACTATGGCAGAGCTCCGTTCTTCCCGGGGCTCGGCGGATCTAGTCCTTGGAGCAGCGGATCCGAGCGGCGGGCGTCCCTAAGGTGGCAACTCCTTCGTTGTCGATTCAGAGATGGCGAAGAAGGCGCCGGAGTGGTGGAGTCATGGAGAGTGCCCAGCCCCGGCCTCGATCCACCTCGATGCAGCCAAGGGCGCTCGACGGCGGCGCTCCAATCCAAGGCGGTGCCGGTCGGTGCGGTGCCGCGACGGCTCCCTCTTTCGATCCCGCACGCTCCCAGCTCCCCCTCCTGGTCCCGCGTGCTCCCTGCTCTCGGCAGACGGCAGCAGGCTAGCATCAGCCGTGGCTGCGCCCAGCGTCCAGTAGTTTTAGATTATAAAAGATATTTTTAGTTTGATTCACATGCTGCTTTATCTTTGTACTTGATAATAAAAAAATAATTAATAAATCGTTATTAGACAGTAAAGAGCGAAGCAATTTCGCATTTAGCCCATCAATGATTCAGCCCATCTCAGCCCATCTCGGAGCATACTCGCATTTCGCTGTCTGATAGACTTTGAACGGCCGAGATACACGAAACGATGAATAAAACACAGCGCTCTCTTCTTCTCAGTCGAAACCCTACTGCCCTCTCTTTTTCCCTCACGCAGTCCCCCATGAACTCCTACTCCCCTGCTCTGGCGGCGCAGGCAAGTACGGGACGAGCCCTCCATCCCCCCTCTGGCGGCATGAGCTTGCAGGCCACGACCCCTCCGGTGGCACACCACTCCGGTGGTGCGTGCAGGCTGGGGACAGCTCCCTTCCTACGCATCGCCACTCATGACCCTAGCCCGCGCACCGCCAGGCCGACCCTCGCCGTGACCCTCCGCCCCCACCTCACCACGGGAAGAGCTGACAGCGGATGGCAAGTCGGTGGTCCGTCCTCCATAGATCAGGCACCAGCGGTCGCAGATCTGAGTGGAGACATCGATGAGGGTTTGTTTCTCGTCCCCGCTTGTCCTTTTGTTCTTAACAAAACAGATATGTTGCGAGTTTATTTGAGCTTACGTCAAACACATTTCTATTTGGAATCAGGGTGCATGCATTGGTCTGTATTTTATAAACTGACCCGAGTGAGTGATAGTTGACCATGCTTGTTCTGCATATTCATATGTATCTGTGCCACTTTATGACACTCTCAGTATGTTCACAACACAGAATGATTATACTATAGTTCTCTTTTCATTTATGATTTGTCTAGTGACAGTTTTTGTGTATTGTACATTTGTACTTTCAGGTCCAGATGCTGTTCAATTCATCGTGAACCATGCAGCGGTGGAAGTAATATTCTGTGTGCCTCAAACTCTAAGCATTGTGAGCTTTAATCACTTCTCTCTTTCAACCTTCGACAATTACTAGTTCCTAAAATAAAATTTGCAAATGAAGCCTATGATGAGGCTGCATGTCAGAAGTCATCTTAGTCATAACTAGTGAGGCTGGAACTGCTCCAGGGATTCGGGTCCATTCTTTATTTGTACTTGTATAACTGTGATAACAGGTTTCTCTAGCATAAAAAACATCGTATAGTATGGGACAAGTGGCAGCCTTGACAACCTTTTTGTGGGCCCATATACATGAAGATATGGTTAATCTTGTGGATACTGGGGCCATATTTAAAGAATAAAAATTTTGTTCTTATTTTGAAAAGCTACATTGGTTTATTGATGCCATTTAGCTTTCAACTTCACATTATTATAGTATTATTATGTCATTCTACGTTTAAAAGACATAGACTGCATGGTTATCTATTGATGGCAGCTGTTAAGTTTTATAGCTCAAATGCCATGTGTTCGGCTTATAGTGGTAAGTCTGGGCTGCTTACTGTTGACAAACACAATGTAATATTCATGATTATTCAAGGACCTTTCCTCCTTAATTTTCCTAGTTTCTTTGTCTAGGTAGTTGGTGGAGATGATGCAAATATGCCATCAACGCAGTTACTACTGGAGTGGAAATCATAACTTACTCTAGGCTGCTCATCTAGGTGCTCATGATGATTTTTCTCTTTTAACGATTTCAAACACTACATAAAGGGGTAAAGGCTACCATGGTATAAGTTGCTTCTCATAAACTGCATGATTTTACTGAAGTGGATACCCTTATTTCTCAATGTACCTGAATTTAAGGAAATTTTGATACAACTGCATGGCAGCCATTTTCATTGTCATTAATCTGGAATGGCCTAAGTCAGATTTGTGGATGCACTCAACTATAAGTATCCCATGTCCTTTTGGTTCCCTGTTTTCTTCTTGTTCTTTTTCCTTGCCTATGTGCTTCAAGAGTTTGGCCCTTAGAAAGTTGGTGTGATTTCACACCTAAGCCGCACATATGTACTTATGTTATTTGTATTATGTTCCTAGATTTTATGCGTGGGATGCCATGATTTCTTTACCATCCTTTGTTGAGTGGAAGTTAGATCTATCTAGAATGCAAACTGAATCTTCCAGTTCAGATTAACCTGAAATTTTTGTATCTGCATGCTTGTATGGCTATAGAGGTCAGTTGTTTTTGTTTTACTTGTTTTTTAGGGGAGTTCTCATTTTACTCGTTGTATGCAAAGTACACATGAGATTACAGATCAAATGTTCTCCTTGATGGTTATAGACATACATGCATTTGATGGTTATAGGCATACATAGCATGCTCAAGCTGGAAATTACCTTTACTTTGCATATATATAAATGTGTATGCATTTCCATATTAAAATTTTCATTTATGGAATTTGAATGTTTAAGTTGTTAATACATTTTCATTGGCGTTTTAATTTTGAATAAAGAAGGGCACATCACCTTCGATTGTTCTTTGCTTCATCAGCAAAGTTCTGTTACTTGTAGAGTTGTATATTTCAGATCTCTGATGTTGGATATCATTTTTTTCCCAGGGTGTTGTTCTTTCTCATGAGAACTTAATTGCAAATGTAGCAGGATCAAGCCTGAACATTAAGTTTCCCCCCTCCGATGTGTTAGTATTTTGCATATACACTCAAATAAAATTGTTTGTGCTTGATCAACTTATCCAATTCACATCAGCTCTTAACATTTGTGACAATAACTTTGTGGATCACTCTCCTCAGGTATATCTCATATCTACCTTTGGCTCACATCTACGAGAGGGTTAACCAGATTGCAGCACTGCACTGTGGTGTTGCCATTGGATTCTACCAAGGGGTATGCAGATTCAACTTTATTTGGAATGGTATCTATATAACTACGTAACTACAGAACAATTTTGATGTGCATTCTGAGAATTAATTAACACTAAACTACTAAGGGTTCATCTATAAGTGCCTATAGTTGTAGGAATATGATCATCTATTGCAAAATATGCATTGTGCAATTGAGTTGCTCTTAGTTTGGATGACCTTTTTTAAAGCTTTGGACAATTCAGAGACTAGCTGTAGACCAGTGTGAAGGATCTTCAATTGTCAATATAATATTTTATCAATTTAAATTCTCTCATAGCAGTTGTTATGTCCCCTTGGTGGTCACTGTAAGAATCAATTGTTTCATTGCCGGTTCTTGTTGAAGGTCATTACACTGAGTGAGGAGAATAGGATTCTTGATGAGGAGAACAAAAGGTTGTTGTGTTTACTGGAGGAAGAGTGACGGCGCCTGTCTAAAAGAAAGAAATCTTCGTGTACATCCACCACGTAAATTGGTAAACTTTGTTGTGCGCTAAGATGAATGATTTTGTTGCAAATACATGCAAGTAGTCTAGCTTGAAGGATGGCAGCTTAGATGACTGGGCTCTTGATTCCGATACTGCAGATTAGCCATTTCATTTGAAAACACTGAACAAACATGGTTATCTTATATAATGCTGCTCTGTTTCTTTTTAAGAAAAAATACTAGTGGGCCCTTGTTCTTGATAATTTTATCCCATTCAAGTCAAGAAAGATAGGCTGAAGTTTGAGCATAGATTGATTCACTTCTAATTCATTACTAGTTTAATTAAGCCCATGTTATGCAAGATCTATTTTGCATGAATAATTCATTACTACTGTACATAATATTTTAGTACTTGAGCTGATAAGCTATATTGCAATGAAAGAGAAGCTTGCACCCTAGGCCTGTTGCAGCCCAATCAGTCAATCCAACGGCCAGCTTCTGAATCCAAATTTGATCCTAAACACATAGCACCGGTGACCTGACTACCTTCTAGGAGAATTAAAATTGTGTTCAATGCATTCTTGCACTTAAGATGTCAATGTCTGACAGTGAAAAAAGTAACCAAGGTCATTCATTTCCACAGAGTGATCCCAAACTAGCAGAAAGCTAGGAACCAACAAATAACATTTAACTCACTGCTGTAATACTACAGAACTGATGATTTCATCTTGTTCCATTCTAACATGCTTGTGGTTTGTTGTTTATTCCTCATTTGTTGTAGTAGATGACTATTTAACTACAGTAGGAGAAAAAACCTGTAATTTGGCTTGAGTTTCTAGAAAATGGTTGTCTACACTTGCTGATTACAAACTCATACTGTACAGTAGCTTTGCATTTTTTCTCCACTTGTCTAATTACATGGTGGTTATATTTTTCAAGAAGTGATGGGCACTAATCTTTGACTTGAGTTTTTGGAAAATGGTTCTCCACGTAACCTGGTGGATGTGCTCTATCGTTGGCAAGCCATTGCTTTTGGATTTTGAGTTCCTAGAAATGATTGTGTGCACAAACCTTAGTATGTTAAACACAAAAATACTAGTATTGCTTGTTGTGATGTGCATTCATGTAATCTTTTGGTGTCTGACTTCAGTACACAAACATATGGTGTGCAAGACAGATTGTATGTTATATGTTATATGTATTGTCCTCCATGTGATGTATATGTTTCTGTACCATTATTGGATGGACATTAAGCTTCAAAGTGGGTTTGATATGTGCTAAATGTTTTCTAATTGTATTTATTTTTTGGGGTGTATTTATAGTGTCCTGTTGAACAATCTGTCACTATAAATACACGGACTATTGGATGATTTGTCGGCATATGCTTCATAACAGAGCATCTATCGCTAAAAACTAGCAATGGACTATCTGTCGCTATAAATATTTAGGGCAGCAGACTGTCTGTCGCTAAAAGTACAGTCTGACGCTAAAGATTTTTAGCGACAGGACTTACAGCGTATGCAGAAATCTGTCACTATAACTTTTTAGCGTCAGATTATTTGTCGTTGTAGCCACTTTTAGCGTCAGATCATCCCTCGCTAATCTTGGTGTTGTGGTATAGCGAATCTCTAGGTCTCGGATATGTCTACAATAAATAAAGTACCTTTGCAGTGTACTTTTTCAGTACTTTATGTGAAGATTTCCATGTGTAGCCCTCGA